ATATTAGCTTTATGTGGGTATTAAGACTTTTTTCCAGGATACCATGCAAAAAGATAAGAAAAAGTATTTTATTGTATAGAATACACTAATTAATACCCAGAGCCAAACACAGGTCTTCAGTAGAACAATCCCCAGAATCCATAGGCAACATTTTTTTCATAATATATATTCAAGTTATGTGTATTCATGTGGACATAGTTTAAGAAGGACTTCTTGGAAGGCAAGGGTTCTAGGCATGCATTCTAAAACTACCAGCAGGTTCTCATACAAAATTAAACTCTCTGATTAAATAGTGATGGGCTTTTATATCAGTAACATTGGCTCACTCTCTTATCATCAATCTAGGTATCCAGTTATTACAGAATAGTTGCATCATCCACTTATTCTTTCTCTTTTCCACTAGTATGAAGTATTATATCTATAAGACTATGTGGGTAGATAAAGATATATTTTATTTGATAAGGTAGTGATGACCAATTTATGACCCAAGTTTTGTGTCAAGAAGTTGAAAATGTAGGTTTAGGGGAATACTGGCAATTGACCAGCTATGTCTGTTCTGTGTGCAAAAGATGAAGACTATTGGCTCAGATTCTAGATACTTGTGATCCTATCCACAAACAAACCCACAGCACATTCACATTATATGTATTTACTCTACAGTGTAAGGCGTTGTTGTTACTGGGTATCATCAGATTTCATTTGGGAACGTGAGTCACAGATTAGTAAAATCACATTCAGTCTTTGGCTGCTTTTTAACTCAAAAGGCCTTTTAAAAAAAATCATTGAGTCAACCAAGCAAAATATCTCATTTGATGTGGGCATAAGTGAGAAATGCAATTTTATGATATCTTAAAAATCAGTATATAAATCAAGTTTTCACATTTCCAAAGGCATCATGAATATAATGGAAATTTGAGTTCCAAATGAGAAAAATAATGAGGCAAAAGATAATTTGTTTAGTACAATAAAAGCATAAAATAAAAGGTTTGGTGATTTTAACCATGCTAGTGTCTACTAAAAGAAATTAAATAAGCAGAGGTGATAGATTCTGTAAGCCTAGGTTTATTATTATGTTGTTGTTTTCTGGTAATTTTAAAAGACCATTAGCACTAAACAATAGTGATCCTATGCTCTAGCAATTTAAAGTACAATTAGAATTAATGTGAGTAATCAATTAACTAGTGCTGAAGTGAAAACACCGCAGGGCGCAGTTGCTCACACCTGCAATCCCAGCACTTTTGGAGGCTGAGGCAGGCGGATCACCTGAGGTCAGGAGTTTGGGACCAGCCTGGCCAACATGACAAAACACCATCTCTACTAAAAATACAGAAATTAGCCAGGCATGGTGGTGCATGCCTGAAGTTCCAGCTGTTCAGGAGCCTGAGGCAGGAGAATCACTTGAACCCTGGAGGCAGAGGTTGCAGTGAGCTGAGATCACACCACTGCACTCCAGAAAACAAAACAAAACAAAACAAAACAACAACAACAACAACAAAAAACAATAAGCATATATTGGTAAGGTTATTTTAAACAATCTCAGAGTAGCATAGGCTTATTCACTCTTTTTTTTATAATATGGATAAGCATGCAAACTTTCAACTTTTTGATATAAAACATTTAAATGCATTGTTTAATTTTAACAGTAGCCCTGTAAATATATATTAAGATTTCACTCATTTGCTAGTTTTTAGTTAGTGCAATAAAACTGAGATTGTGAAATGTCCTATGATTACTTACCAAATGGATGAGATGAGTCTTGACCCCCAGACTTCTTGATTCTGAAGCCTAGATAATATCTATTTCACATTGTTTTTCAGAATATTTTATCCATATACCTTTCTTGGCGAGATTTTCTTAGCATAACACCCTTGCAGATCCTTCATGAATTGTCTTGGGATGGCAAGTCTTTCAAATGTAATTTAATTCTGCTGTTTGTTTTCAATGATTGAAACAGTTGAATTCAAGAGAGGTAACACTTTTTATTAAATGTCTCTTGTTAATGTGTAATAAGTTGGAGCCAGCAGAGTTTCGCAATTTGACTCAAACACCATTTTTCCATGATTTTATCTTATAAATAATGTATTCTCTAAAATAATTTCCTGTCAGGCCCGTCTAGCTCTCATTCCTCTCAGCTTTGTTCTCCAGACACAGAGCCTGCTGACTCCCCTTTCACAATTAGCACCATTCCTATGTCTTGAACCAATCTTATCCTTTGTGAGGGAATTAAAACAGCCCTAGTTGAGTATTTCTGGAAACATAGTATAAAGTCATCCTTTCAGAGGTGAAACGTTGTATTTAGTAGAACCCAATAAACTTAGGTTTCAATACCAACTTGCCGCTTAAAAATTTTACCCTTGGACAAGTTATTTTTATTGCATCAAATCTGTTTTCCTCTATGATAATCCTTATATAAATGTAAGAAGATACCACATAGCAAATGCTGAATAATGTTAGTTGTCTTCCCTAAATATTTGTACCGCAATTATCAAATAAAATCATCATCATGCTTTTTTTGTCCCATGGTTACTTCTTAGATGATGATTGACTTAATATTCCCCAGTGACAGTAAGTTTTGAAACTAAAGAAACCTCAATAGGATTCTGGAGCAGAAGTCTCCCGATAGGCATGGAGCCTATGCCGCACAACCTGCAGGTGTCCCTCCCAGGTGTGCTCTGCCCAGAGCTCTGCTGATTGGATGCCTCTGTGTCCTTAGACCATGTACAAGGCCTGATGCAGGAAAGAGCTGAGAACTTTCCTTAAATGGAAAGCCCATGTTGTGGGAGCATAATGAGCAAGAGACAGAGGGATGGGCATGGCAGCTTATGTCTGTAATCTCAGTACTTTGGGGAAGCTGAGGCAGGTGGATCTCTTGAGGTGAGGAGTTTGAGACCAGCTGGCCAACGTGGTGAAACCCCATCTCTACTAAAAATACAAAAAAAAAATTATCCAGGTGTGGTGGTGGGTGCTGTAATCCCAGCTACTTGGGAGGCTGAGGGACAAGAATCAGTTGAACCCAGGACGCACAGTTTGCAGTGAGCCAATATGGCACCCCTGCACTCCAGCCTGAGTTACGGAGCGAGACTATGTCTCTAAAATGAAAGAAAGAGAGAAAGAGAGGAAGAGAGGAAGAAAGGAAAGAAGGAAAGAAAGGAAGAAAAGGAAAGAAAGGAAGAAGGAAGAAAGAGAAAAACTGCCTGAAATGGGATTAGACAAGTTTGCAGGTGCCAGGCTGTATTCATCTAAAGAAAATCGGATTTCATTCTGAGAGCAATAAGACATTGTGGCAGAGTTTTAAGTGAGAAATGAAATTTGACGAAATTCTTTCTCTGGCCTTGTGGTTATGGGATTTGGATCAATTCATGCAAATGATTCAAGCCCCAGTCTTCCTGTGAGTAGTATCCCAGCAACTCAACCAACAGGGTGATTGTGAAAATCACATCAGGTAATACACATGAAAAGCCTTACCAACATGTGTAAAGTCATAGAAGTACAAATCTTAATAATGATAGCTACTAGAAGCCTGTTCTGGCAAAAATGTTATCAACCTGAAAGATGAATATGGGCTCCTTGATTATTTGTTTACTTTCTTTTATTCAGTTGATTTACTGTTCTATAAGATGAAATACTCTTTTTCCTGGCTGGAAGTGCAGCAGAAGGCAACCCTACACAGAACATACAAATGGTTAGTGCTAGCACTGAACATAGGATCACTGGGGGAGGGAGGGATTATACTTTGTAACGTAATAAATGGGCTGTGTTTTCTGAAACTGCTAGAAGAATAGGAATTCCCTCTTTGCTTCTATTGCTTGGAAACAAGACAATGGAGAGCTTGTGGCTTTCTCTTATTTATTTATTCATTTATGTCTGCCTTTGTTTATTCCACAAACTTTATTGAGCATCTAGTTGATATCTTAGGCCTTCTTATTTCACATCTGTAGAAGAGGAACTAATAGCAATAATATTTATATGCACATTTAAATATATTTGAGGCATTGTACTAATAATTTGCGTGTATTATCTTGTTTAAATTTTCCAATACCGATGTACATAGATGTTATAACTAGGCACATTTCCTATGTGAGGGATTTGAAGGTCTTTGACCTGTCCAGGTCACTCGGCTAGTAAGCCTCAGAGGTGGACTTGAACTTGACTCTGTTTGACTTGAAAGCCGAAGCTCTCAAACCACTATATCACACTGCCACAGACCATAGTACAGGAGATAAAGGTGATAGCATATGTCACATGCTCTAATTGTTTGGTATCTAGCCCCTGCAGCTTGTTATAACATGTCTTCTTCAACTTGACATTTCTTGATTTCTACAGCCAGGTAAACAAACAAACCAACAAAAACAGTTTAGCTTTCCTGCTAGTTTTCCCATGGTGCAAAAATATTTAATAGGCAGATTATAAAATAGACAAGTTAACTCACAATTCCATGGTATCTCATTAGCTTAGCTTGTAATCCCGAGGAGTTTTTAGTGTGGTGGGGGCCAGCAGGCTCTGGGGTCAGACAGCCTTTGTTCAAACCATGGCTCTGTGTCTTACTAGCTGTATGTCCTTTTTTATGCATATTCCCTGAGTTTGGGGATAATACTATATATCTCATAGAGTTGTTATGAGGATTAATTGTGTTTATAATTCAAAGTTCTTGGGATAGTGATTGACACATAGCTAGTGCTCATTAAATGTTGATTATTAACATAGCTATTATTTTTATGATGTCATTGCTGTTGCAGTGGGTTCTTGCCTCAAGTTTGAAAGCAGTAAGTAATTTCTTCTAGATGTTATATTTACCCACATTTAATCCTCAACATCATAAACTTGAAATCTCACCTGCTGAATGACTGTTCTTCTATAGTCCAAATTTACGTGCTCTTCAGCCATGTGATAAATTGTCGTTTGGTAAACATTGACCCTGGCGCTCTGGTCACTGTGTGGTTTCGGTAGGGGGGTTCACTGAGAAGGTGGCCTGTGCTCATGGAGATGGCATCTCAGAGAGGATGGTGGAGGGAGATAATCACAGCACCCACCTGCTGGCTTCAGAAGCCACAAGTCTGGAAGAACAGCTTCAAGGATGGGGAGAAGTGATGCTGATGGCTGATAAAGTCCTCCAGTGGGAAAGAACCTGGTTTCCACCTGCCTTCATAGGTGTGGTTTCTGTGTTGTTTCTGATTTTCTACTATCTAGATCCATCTGTTGTGTCTGGTGTTTCCTGTTTTGTTATGTTTCTGTACTTGACTGACTACCTTGTTACCGTTCTGGCACCTAGAAATTTGCGCCCCAATAAATGGACCACTGAGCAACGGCAAATATTCCATGAAATGTGCAGCAATCTAGTAAAAACTCAACCCAGATCTGTGGGTCGGTGGAGATGCCTCTTCACACTAGAGAAAGGAAAACCTAAGATGTCCTTCACGACCATGATCGTTTCCCTTGCTGCAGTTGCTTGGGTGGGACAGCAAGTCCACAACCTGCTTCCCAGCTATCCCATGATGACTTCCTTACTATTGCTTCCTGGACTAAACCAACATGAAGGCCTTTCGAAGTACATTGGAATTGCCAAATGGGAGATGAACAAAATTCTCAAACAAAAAGAAAAAAATGAATAATTCATCTGCTTTATGTGTGATTAATGGAACACCCATTGCTCCTAGAAACAGTTTCTGCTGTACTATCTGGATACTATAACATTACAGGAGTAGCTCTTTACTCTCCCTCACTCTGTCCTTAGTTAATAAAACTCAGACTCGCCAAGTAAGGCTCTGTGCATAGACTCTTCATGTCGCATAGAGTCGAGTGCGTTCTTAGCATTTGGCCTCATGGACAACTCATTAGTGTGTAGGCCTTGTTTTGATTTTTCTTAGCCAGGGTTAATTGAATTCTTGCTTTTAGACAACTTTTTTTTTAATAGTGGTGAATCTTGCCCTTTAGTACAGTTCAAGTGACTCTGGATAATAATTCAAGTTCATCTTTGCTTTAGCTAGATACAAGGTAGTGGTCTGTGGCTACAGGAAGCTGGTTCTACTCTCTGCTTTTACAGTCTGCCTAAAAAGCTGTCGGACTTCATGAATATAGAGACCACGTTTACCGCTTCTGATGAAGAGACCAACAAAGATTCATTCCTCATTCTGCTTCTTTCCCGTGGGAGAAGGATCTCCATGGAATACGATCAAACTGATTCCATGCGCTAGTATGTGTAGGTTTCTCCCTGTGTGAAGTTTAGCAATTTGTAGGAAACTTTGATTTTTTTTGTCCAAAAAAAAAAAAGGAGTGTCTGACAGGCTTAAGCTTTTGTCCCCTTGCACTTAGACTTGAAGTTAGTACATCCTTAAAGTCTTTTTAATGGCAGACTTCCAAAAGAGTGCATTTAGGATTTCTAGCATACTTTTAATTTCAGGGTTTCGGCTGACTTTAGCTGTAGTATACAGTACGTTAAGATGCCTGTCTGAGACCTTTACTCTAAGACCAGCAGTAAAGGATAGCAGTCTTCCATGTTTAGTCAAGATTCATTTCAGTAGAAGATAATCTTATCTGACTAATTTTCAAGACCAGAATAAGCCTTTTAAAGTAAACCTCAAAATTCTCATTTTATGGTAATACTGGCCATTTTAATTCCCTAGGTTTGACATGGGAGATAGTGACTACCCTGTCGTCTGACTTTTTTCCTGGAGATTTCCCCCTGAAAAATACAAGAGCTATTGGTGGGAGCAGACTTGAGGTGATGAGAGTTGGCCTCTGGTCTACAAAGATTTTATAACTCCTTGGAAAGCCTTTTACAATCATTCTTAACTTCTCGTTATCTAGAAATTTAGAGTAGTTGAAATCTGTAAGAATGAATGTCTGAGGGCCAAAAATGTGAATGACTTGGGAACAATTCTTAAACAGATTAACAAGCTCTAATTTAGTTTTGTGAATTTATTGCACTGATGTTTTACCTTGTGATATATCTGTCCCTATAAAGTAAGTGTTTTCTCCTCTTTAATACTCCTGTAGACAGTGGTGCCCATTGTAGCATAGGTTTAATTTTTAAAAAAATATTTTATAAGAAAACTACTTTAATTTTACCGTTCTTATGTTGTAAATAAGCCTGTCTTCCTGGATTATTTTGTGTTTACATGTTCTACTGATTGACTATTTTGCAGTTTCAATCCTCTATTATTCCTTCTATTTGGTTTTGTGTAAAAGGGGAAAAGATTTTAAAAAGCTAGAATCTTAAAAATAAATAACATTGACTCAACATACCAAAGAGCACAACAGGTGCTAGAACATAAAAGATGAATCTCCGCCTTCAAGAGGTACAGGCTTAATGAAGGCTGGGCGACCACTTAGTTATTTGTAAAGCCTCTGTGAAGGGTATTCTGACACTGAGTGGCTGTTGCAGTATTTGACCTTTGGACTTTACATGGGAAAGTACTTTCTGTTTTTTTTTTCTCCCTTTCTTCTATCTCAGGCTCTCTGGCTGGCTGGGTCAGGCACACAATAAATGAAAGCTTTTATTAGTACCTTAGAGAGGCAGCTTAGGAATACTGAGAGAGGTCAAGTGTCTCTAGAGATCGGAGTTCAAATCCTAACTTTATCATTTAGGAGTTGTGACCTTGGATCACTTACTTCACTTCTTTGAGCCTCTATCTTTATAAAGGGAAGACTATCTAACGAGGATATTGTGAAGAAAAGTCATGATACACATGAAGCATCTAGCACAGTTCTGGCACAAAGCAGGGCCTAGCTGAGTTGGGAAAGGGGCGGCAGCAGTAATCCTGAGCCTGAGCCATAAGGCCACTAAGAGGAGTGGCCTGAGCTGCAGCAGCAGATGTGGCAGCAACTTTCTTCTTCTTCGTTTTGTTTGCTCAGATGCTGCCTTTATAATGGTAATGGAGTATTTTCAAATTCAAAGTCCATTCTAGAGATAAAGAAAAATGATAGTGGGTTTCCCTGTAATTAATGGCATCTTTTAGCATTTCAGTCTGATTATAAATAATATATAAGATGCCTTCTGTGGTGAATAACATGTCTTTCTAGTTTTCTAGATTTATGAATTTAGCCCATGTGAAATTAATGATTGTGGGTGTAATACATGGATGTGAAACATCTGGAATAATAGGATTTTATTGTTAATAGACCTCTCAGGAGCTCATGACAAACATCCTTATAATAGCAACATATGCTGCTAGTTTAATGAGAATCATCACTGACAATTAATGGTTCTTGTGCTTTCCATAATTTGCACATTTTCAAATTTTATATTCTTTATTTTCATCTTTATGGTTTCAGGTTGTGACTCGTTTGAAATTAAAGCCAGAACTCTGTTCAGAGGAGAAAAAAATATTTATTGAGTGTATACTGTGTGCCAAGCATTGTGTTATATATTTTATATGTGTGAATATACATGAACATGAAATTACTTGGGAGCCTGAAAACAATCAGGCATCCCTCTATTTACAAACAGGAAGTCTGAGGCACAGTGAGATTAATAGCTCATCAATGTGGATGCTCAGGCTAGAATTAAAGGTTGAATTTCTCTCTTCTTTCATTCATTAGAACAGAAACTAGAATATTGTAGAAAATATTCCCTTTTCTATAAATCATATTTCCGCTTTCAGTAGTCCTCTCAACTTTACACGTAATAACCTTCCAGTTATTCCTGGGACATGTTGGGCTTAAGCTGATGTGGGCAAGGAGCTGATAAAGAAAACTATGAATTTAAACTTCAGATGTATTTCAGAACCTACTCTGTGCTTTGTGCCAGGTCAATAGCTGTGGAAATACCCAAAAGGAGAATATTCTGTTTTTCCTTGTTCTTTTGATGCTGAGAAAAGGAATTTTTATTGAGTAGTGATATATGCACAGTCTGTAGGTCAGCCATTGGATAGCCTGGTTCTCCGAAGAGAAAGGTTCAGCCTGGACCCCAGAGCTGGCTCGGCTACTCCTCCCTCACATGTTTGGTTCGGACTCTCTTAAATTAAACATTATTGATATATTTTAGGAAAATAACAGAAAGTGTACATGATGTGGCCACCAAACCGGAAAATGTGATTAGGGGAAGGAGAATGAATGGTAGGCACCCTGTCGCTGGAGAAGGCAGAATTAGTTCCCTTCATGCTTCATTAATCTGCATTCAGTCACTGTTGCCTTTGTATAAAGATAAAGGCAAAATTCTTACCTCACTATTTTATCTTACGTCTTCACAGCAATCATATTATTTGAAACAGTCCTGTTCAACCATTTAAAATCTTGAGTATTACTTCTTCCCCTCATAAGAATGCAAGATCCATGACAGCAGGTACCTTTCCTGTCCTTACCAAATGAGTGATTGTATATCTAACCTTATTTTCAGACAGGGTAAATTCTACCGTACATCACATGTTCATTCACTGAATCATTTAAGCAATGTATGTTGCCTGCTGAAGTAGGTATATTTACATAATACATGCACATAGGTATGCACAAATCATAGGCAAATTTGCATAACAAGTGAGGTAGTAAGCTTCAAATAGTGATTGGACCTCTTCCTTGTTCCATGAACTGGGAAAGCTCGACAACTTATGTGAGCCTCTCTCATCCCATCTATAAAATGCTAATCGATTTTAATGCTGGCGTCCGCCTGCCCCAGCAACAGCATGTACTCTGTTGCTTCTGCCCTGACTTATGCCTGGACCATTGAGAATCTGACCTGGTAGCAAGTAGGTGGTTTTCTGCTACTGAAATCCAGCATCTAGACACAGCCTGCAGATCACACACCAGATGTTCCCTTTGCATGTTTACAGGCAAAATTGGGCTTTTTCAGGAGCCACAGGACATGGCAGTGATCTGTCCACTGTCAGGTGTGACTGTGGGGCTAGACTGGCTGCTGTCTGGGCCCCTGGTTCTCTCTCCAGTCCCCACAGAGAGAGGACCCTGGTCCACTGCAGACCTGGTACCATAGTAAACCTGCTAACCCCTTTCCTGGAGTCCAGGCCTTACACATGGCTTTCCAGGTATTACTTCAGTATCTCCAAGTTCTGTAGGTTGGCCAGACTCCAGATACCCTCAGTGGCCATCACCTAACTCCTTACATCTGATGCCTTACATGCTGACATTTCAAGCCACGCTTAAGTTTTTCTACAACTCTTTTGAATCTCCCAAGTTGAATCACTGACAGATTCAGGAGAGTTGTGAAAAAAACTTAGGCTTGATCCTCCTCCCTTATCATACCTAGTCTGGTGAATTTTGCTCAGTTACCGTACTATACTCACTACTGTTTAAGTACTGTGTAAAGGGGAAAGACTGTTACACACTGTGTAGTCTTGTTTGTGTTTATGTGTATTTAGAACAGATCTAACAGGAGTCATTGAACACCCTTGCAAAATAAAGTCCCTTTGAGAGGTGGAGAGTGTAATTTGTAAGACCTATTGCAAACAATCTCCACAAATCTTTAAATACAAGGTGCATTCACACCTCAAGTGGGTAGTTTATGCTTTTAAGGTAAGCTAAGTGCAATAAACTGTAGACACACCCTTTCACTAATAATAGAGATTGTCTCATGCTGAACTTTAGCTCAAGATATTCTGACACAGGCTGGAGCCACATTATAAAGCTGCTCTGGATTCTGTCTTATGAAGCCCAGGGTGAC